TCTAGGAAAGCAAACAGCCTTTAATAATTTTGAAAACAACACTTTTTTATTCCTATGTCTGAATTATAAGCTATTTACTAACCTCTTCAGTTTCATAGAATGAAGATTAATTCAGTTTCAAAAGATGTTTATTCCTTTATATGTTACAAGTTCCTGCTGTCCTTAACTAAAAATTTCAATTTCCTTTATTTTAGTTAACATATGTTATGGGAATGGGCAGGAAAAAATTGCTTTACTTCCACTGATTTCTGAGATGATAAATTGTTTGTAATATACCTATAAATCCACTTGTTAAGATTACTCATGACAAGATTCAAGTCTGAGGGCAGTAGCCAGCTGTCTCTGAGCATATCATAATGATTCTCCTTTGGGGGCAATACTCTGACACATTAACATAAATTTAAAAGAATACATAAAAAGAGAATATCACGCTATACCTTTGCTGCTTCTACTGTTTATCTGTATTCACTGCAACCCAGCAGGTGAATAAACATCTTAGAGATATTTAGAGAGGTCTTAAGAGGCTTCTGTATTGAAGGGGAAAAAAGTCAGTATAAACCACAGTCTGCAGTTAAACAAAACATCACCTTGTAGGGGCTCTGAAACAGTGCAGTGCATTTTTATGGAATTATTAACTCCCATTTTTCTAAACTCTGCTTTTTCATGTCAGAACCAGAAGATGAGATGATAGGATATGTAGTAAGATAGTCTAATTTCTGTACTGTCAGCACAAAGAAATTAAAGGAGAAAATAGAAGGAAAATTGAAAAATTACATTTCAGTGTGATATCCCAGGTCCATTTTTCTGTCCAAGAGTGCTATCAGTCTAATGTATTCTACTAAAGGCTGCTAGACAAAACAAGTATAACTTTAGAATTGAACCCAAATTACCTTTCAGGAGATTTTCAAAATTCACTGTTGGAGTTTGGAAATAAATATTAATTTTTGTGCCAGGTTCCTAACATTTATTAATTACCAATGTTTTCAAAGTGCATGAGGGTTTGATTTGGTGTGGGATGGCACATGGCACGTGAGAAGCTGAATGGTCTCATCTCCCATTTGCTTTAAAAGGAACAGTGTGAGTCTCTGCTCTGCCTACAAATGCCCTAAGATTTCTATGTGTTTAATGTAGACAGGATTAAAAGGTTCAAATTACTATGTCCATGTGCCATTCAAGAAAATTTTTATACCCTGAAGTGCCTACAGAATACACATGCACAGATATACAGATGGATGCACAACTATGTGATGCTTTTTGTGAATACTACGCGGGCAAAATAATTTGGGTCGATTCTTTGAAATTTTATGTCAGTTCAAAAGTGCAGCTATTGCTCTCACTTCTTTGATAAATGTTGTCACAGACAGCTTTTTCTGTTATCTTGACTACCCATTCATTTCTGAACTGAGGAAAACGGAGGTTGTTTAAGTGCAAGACAGAATCAGAGTCACAGGTGATCTACAAAGTAAGAATTACTCTCTGAAGAAACTTGAGAATGGTTTTGAAGGATTTTAAGGAACATATTCAGTCTTAAGAAAAACCCCAACAATTTTAGATTAAAGTAAAAGTCAATAGAAAACATAACTGTTGTGCCATGAAGTACAGCAAGTTAATGAGAAATGGAGGATTCTAATAATGTCTGCCCTTATCAATCATATTAATTGCTTTTATTTTCATTTTATGAAAAATGTCACTACAATAGGATGGAAAAGCAATTGGTCTGGCTTTAGGGGAGGAATGGGAGAAAGCTATGTTTTTTTTAATGTTAGCTACTTCAGTATAAAGAGGTTTGGCATTAGAAGCTGACTTTCACAAAGCCTAACAAATGTAATTCAGTCTACACTGAAAGTTTTTTGCATAGTTTTCCCTGTTTTCCTTGTATGTATAATGTGATCTTCTAACTGCTACACCAATTAATTCATGGCAAGCTATATAGAATTCATGACTAACATATGGAATTGCAAATTTAACAATCATGGTAATGCCTCTGTATTAACTTCTGCAATCTAAAATGGATTTTGTAATCTCCCCATTGTCCTGAGACATGTCTGTCACGAATGCAAACTCTGAGGATTTGTGACTATGCAAACAGACTCTCCTGGAAGAGTAGATACATAAAGTCTGTGTGGCTTCCTCAACATAGTCCATACCCCTTCATTCCCTTTGTAGTGGTTCCTTTATTGTTACCTTACTGGAAAGCTTTTATCAGTAATGGTTAATCTATTTACCTTGAAATAGGATTGCATCTAGGAATAAGTGCTCCCAAACTATTTTCTAAGCCAATTTTGGTTCACACAAACAGCGAAAGGATTCAAATAATTATTTTCACCATCAGGGATGCCTCAAAAATTAGAGCTAGGCTTCAACTCCCTTCTTTCCTGCACAGTTGTTTTTGTTTTGGTTTTTTTTTTCTGTTGGTTTCATTTTATTTTTTTCTTTATGTTCTGCTATAGTCACAGAAGATAAAACTACATTGATGTGAAGGAGAATGTTGAAAGGCTCAAATCTCTGTTTAGAAAGAAAAAATATTTTTTTTTACTACAAGATTTTCTGCTCAAAAATCTAATTCTCTAATCTTAAAGCAATTTCCACTGTACTGTGACTTTCTTACTGACCAAATTTTCAGGAGAATGTATTTTCTGCTTTCAGAAGGGGGAGCAAGATGTTCTTGAGCATGTCTGGCTGTGACCCCAGAGCACAGGGCTACATCAACAAGGAACTTCTTCCACCTCTCCCATGATGTTAAGTACACCTAGAAAGTTTTCTAGAGAGAATTTTAAATTTGTTGGTGTTCTCTTCAAATCATAAAAATTGCCTGCAAGCTGCACCTACCTGTGCAGTTTGGGGCTGAAAGGCTCTTCAGCAGCTTCTGGCTTCATCAAGGTATAACTTATTTCACAGTGGGAATGAAGACGGCTGAGCATGGGCACAGGGTGATACCCCCTGACCCTTTTCCTCACACATAGTCAACCTTGCCTTTGTTTTTTTGCATAAAAAATAGCTTTGACATCCATATCCAATCCAAATCTCGCACTTTTTCCCACACAACTTTCTACAATATGTACTGGACTTCTGTAAGAAACATAAGGTATACCTTGACAATTAAAAACATTGAAAATGCTATTGTACTGGTAAAATACTGCTTTTAATGTGTAGCATCCTCCTCCGCCTGTGATCAGCTGGATTACTAAAAAAAAATTGGTATGGAATACTTGCTGAGATATTCCTACTCTCTAGTTTTTGCCTTTGGATTTGGCTATTTCAAACTAACCTTCCATGGCACCCATTTCTCTCCATTGACTACAAGAACTCCCCTCAATGATACTTTTTTTATGTACTGAAAATAGATACATTGGTCAGATTAGAGTTATTAGGAATTTAAACAGGAACAGAACTGTGAGTGCCTGGAAAATGTCTCCGATCAGTGGAGACCAGTGCCTTCAGGGTTTGTTTTGAGAGGATCTGAGTGTGAAGAAAACAATCCTGGAGAGACTGGAATAAAATTCTAACCATAGCTAGGAAATGATATAAAGTCTTCCTGCTTGATAGAGACTTCCCACCATAAACAGACTGCCATTCTTAATCATTTGCTGTCCTCTCACAAATGCCAAAAATTTCAGCAAAAAACAAAACAAAAAAATGGATCAACAAGATATAACAATTCTACTGCCTGTCTTCATGCTATTTACAAGCTGACTCCAGACAGGAATTTGCATGTGAAAGAATCAGGCAGAAGAAATTCAGATGGTATAAAATAGGCCACGTAAAAGATTTGGGGGATGTTTCACCTCTGAATAGATGCCTTTTTCACAGCCTCTGAGCACCCTCCAACCAAAGGAACACTGCTCTGAAGGTTTTGTCTTGTGCTGATACAAAGACTTATGAAGACTGTGGCAGGCACTAGACATAGTCCTTATTCAAGGTGACGAAAACAAGGGGTTGTAGGATGGAATTGGAAAGAAAATGTATGATAAAACATGTAAAAGCACATGTTCTTGAAAAGTGTCAGTATTAACCAATGGTATTTTTTAATAATAATAACAATAATAATAGTAATAGTAAAAGTGATAATAATGTCCCACAGCCTCTTCTTAGTACATGTAGATTTGAAACAGAAATGAGTGGGAAGCCTGGCTGAGTAAAGCATATGAGACAGACTGAACTAGTAGCTAGCTATCAGTCCATCAGTCCTTAAAGTATTCCAAACATTCCCTGGAGGCAACAGGAAATTCTGCTCCAAGACAGTAACCCTGAAAATAAAGATATGTGCAAAATGGGTTTACCAAACTACTAACAATAGAAGTGCCTGTCTCTGTGATTCTGCTGCAGTTTTGAAGACCTGCTCACCACCCAGCCTTGATAAAATATCTATATTGATTACCACTTGGCAGTAAGTGTTGTTTTTACAACACAGTGTTGTCATGGCTCCCTTCCCACTACATATCATCATGCCATTCACATGTTTAATTAAATACATTTCCCCAAGTGAGTTCTGATTACAAGGATAAGACAAAACTTGATGCATTGAACTGATCCAGGGTGATTACTTGTATTGTCCATGTTATTAATAACAGTGCTCTCAGTATCAGTCTGGTAAAAGCTGCAAAAATTAATGGAAGATTCCCTTAAGAAAAAAGAAAATATTGATACTCTTCTTTTTATTTTATCTGTTCCAGGGCCATCAGTGGCCTTTATGGTACCTTTCTTCCTTTATAATAATTTACAAGAGGACTTTTTTCTGTTTATCGTCATCATTATTACTTGGTTATTTGAATTATTCTTACATCATTATTATTAATGTTATTTGAAACATTCTCTGATAAATATAGAAACTACTGCTTACTAAACTTTTCCAATTAAATTAGACTATTTACTAATCTTCTTAAATTATTGATCCAATCCTGAGGAAATAAAGAAAAAAAAGCCTCTGAAACACCTAAGAGAATAAAGGAAATTACAGGCTTACATAACTTAATTACATAATATAACTGATCTTACATAACTATAAAAAGATCATTGGCTGTAAAAATGCTTCTGAGGGATTCGAGCACTATTTAAAGAGGTTTGACATTGTCTGCTTATTCATGTTTCTTAGCTCTTTGCGGCAGGTTTCAACAGAAAATTTCTGGGAAAGAAATCCAGAAAAATTACAAGAGATGGTGAGATCAGGTAGAGTTGAGAAAAGGTTATGTATCCAGTTCTTCATTAAAAGTAGAGCTACATTGCCAAGGTCTGGAATACAGATTAATTTTAAAGATACCTGTTGTGATTACATCATATAAACATCAGTTTTCAGAACAAAGGCAGTTCTCAAAAGCCAAAGATTTTATCATTCTTCTAGTGTAGAAAAAGCATTTGTGCTCTGTTGCAGAGAAGTAACTGGAGCTAGCAGTGAGAACATTTTTAACTAAACATATAACCAAAGAGCTTCACTAGAGTGGAATTTATTTTGGAGAGACATATCAGTTAAAAATGTTTTCTTGGGAAGCTTCAAGAGGTCATGGTTCCCCTAGGCATCTTCAGCAAGAGGGGAAGGGGAAACTGTAAACTTTGCATGTGCTAGCTAGGGACAAGTATATCGAAGTAATTATCTTAGTAAAGACGTATTTAAAGGATTTCATTAATTCCATCACTGGAAAAAGAATACTGAAACAGAATTGGGTTCTACCAGCCTTTTCTACTAATACCTATTTCTGGCTGGATAACTTATCAGCCAAGGCCAAATCTTCCATGGTTGTAACCACAGATTTAATGGCAGAAAGATGCAGGGTAGGCAAAGAGCAGGAGGATTGATCAGCAGCCTTTGTCTTACTGTCTTGTTGTCCTGATTGCCTTCCTCGCTCAGCCATACAGTCTTCCACAACCCCAACAGTGATTTCAAGGAAAGACAAGTAGAAGAATGAGGTGTCTGTGTTTGCCAAATAATGGACATATTAACATGGAGATACTGTGTTTGAATTTTGGTATTTGACACAAAAATCCCCCAAAACAGGGGCAAAGCCAAATTTTAACTTGACAATCATTGCTTGAATGCCATCTGGAAGGTGGATTCTGAGTGTACTGCTGCTTACCTTTTCACCTCCATTCTTCTTCACAAAGATCTTCAATTAAAGCAGAAGATACATAACACAAAAAACCCTTGCAAGTGAGTTAACTTGTAAAGGTTATTTTTTTTTACTTTTTTTTTTTTTTCCCAGTGACTGTGGTTGGTTGACATTGTTAATGTTCCAAATTGTGGACCAAACCAATGGATCCCTGAGGCCTGATGTATGGCCAAAACTTGACACTTCTTAAAAAGGTTGGCAAGATCAGTCTTGGAATGTAGGTGATTGAACTTAACGCACTTAAGATGAATTGCACTTCTTAACTTAGAATTCATTATCTCTAAGCAAATAACTTTTGGGTCAAGTGGCCTTCCTCAAAATGCAATATAATATTGAATAATCTTCTTATAGGCTTTTATGACGATAAGAAGATGAGAAGAACTCATATTTGTGAGCTGTTCTTTTATGAGTGGAAAGGATGATAGAGAATAGGTTAACGTGGTTAATAAAATAAATATAGGAATGGAACTATAAAATAGTTGATATTTCCTACAAGCTATCTGCAATACTATTAAAATGTACTATGTGAAATTGAAATGTTTCTATGAATTAATGAAGTCCAGAAGCAAAGGGATCTAACAAGTACTGTGAGGTACAGATTCTTACATTATGTCCCATGAATTGCTTGAAGAGAAATGCCTATGGTCAGATGAAGGTTGAACCATGGGCAGTTACACTCAACACAGCTATTAAAAGTTTGTAAGCCTAGCTGATAGAGGAGTCTCTCTGAAATGAGAGAGACACATAGAGAAACAAGGGCATCCCTCAAGAATACCAGATATTCAGATGTCCAAGGGTGGTTTGGTTTTTGGTTTGTTGTTGGGTTTGGATTTCTTTTTTATAGTTTTTTGGGGTTTTTTGTGGGTTTATTTAAGGTTTCTTAGTTTCATTTTTGATTTGTGTGTTTTGATTATTTTTTGGTTTGGTTTCCTTTTGTTAACTTGTTTTTGTTTTGTTTTGTTTTGTTTTGTTTTGTTTTGTTTTGTTTTGTTTTGTTTTGTTTTAAAAAAACCCCTAACACCAAAGAAATACTTTTGTTCACAGCATTTAGGTCTGACAGAACATAACCTGTTTCTTCTACTACCAGGTCAGCAGAAATGAAGAAGGTGATTCTGCTTTGTGTGATGTACAAGAATAGCTACCATTTCAGGTGAGTGGAGAGAAATTGGAGGCTATGAAAAGAGGTCTGGTATTTTCTCTTTTGTTGTGATCATGCTTAGAAGCTTTAGTCAGCAGTTAAGTCCTGACTGCAATGAGAGTTAAGCTCATTTTATTAACAGATTATTTATAATTCTGCCATCACTTTTGCATGTTCACAGCTCTCCCATTGAAGTCTTATTTCATAAGAGTCACTTATTTCTTAAGAGCCAGTAATACTATTCACATTAAGATTGAGCAAATTTTGAAGAACAAACAATAGGACTAGGACATTGGCATACTCTTTTGTGTAATCACAAATGACTGTAGTTGACAGTAGTTCTGACAATGTTGTATAAAATACATGGGAAAAAAATCTGAACAAACAAAAGACAGATAGGGCCAGGTCACATGTAATTTTTTTCAAGACCATTAATTTTACAAACACTTGAAAAGCTAATAATTCTTGCTGTCAAACACCTGGCACATTTTTTATCACATGTCATTGGGAATCTGATATCACAAAGGATTTTACTGAAAGAAACTACTGTGAACATATATTCATACAAATGAAATGTGAACAGTATGGTCACATTGGCTTATTATTTTTTCTGTTAGGGCACAGGTATCTACAGAGGATGCTTAGGCATGAGTATGTGCATAGGATGCATAGACATGAGATAGCTCTGCACTGTCTTCTTACCCAGCTACCACAGATTTGGCCTTCAGGTGCATGACATACATCTTGTTGAAGAGAGTTCTGCTTGTGCAGACCCCTTACTGATTCTGCAACATCAGACCTGCTAGTCCATCTCTGAATTCTACATCTACATCTCTGAATTACAGGCTCGGAATCTAATGGCTGAACAATGTTCTTTAGATCTTGCTTCACCTGAATTCCTTATCCAAACAAATTGCCAAACACTTAGCACAAAGACCACTACCTTGTTGCTCCCTGAAATCTTCTCACAACCTTCTCACTTCTTGTCTGTCATAATCTTCTCAAAAAAGAGCCATTACAAAACTCCAGTGATGTAGTAAAACAATACAAAGATTATAATTAGGAAGTATGTGAATTTAGATTGTTTCCTTCTGTCAGACAGAAAAAGCATTGCAAAGTTCATCACTCCTTAGATTTTGTTAATATGGAAATAAAGAAAATAGCCTAGAAAACAAAATGGCAAAACATAGTTAAATATCTGTCATTAATGTAAAAGAGATTATTTCACATTTTCACTTAGAGAGGGAAATTCCAGCCAGTTGCCGCCTGGCAACAGGCATAAAATATATATAAGTAATAAATAAAACTCAATATTTTGAAAAGAAGGAGAAAAGCCAAACCAAACCAAACCAAACAATCTACCAAACAAAAATCTGCAACACTTTAAGAAGTGGAAGGAAAGATGTAATAAAATGAACACTTAGATATTTTAGCAAGAATCTCTTCCTGATAAAAAAACAAACAAGACCATTGTTATTCAACAAACCCATTCATTATTACGCCATAAAGGAGAGTTGCAGAAAGCTTATCTGAGAAGACAGAGATTAAGAGAAAGTTGGCCATTTAGCTGTGCATAGTGATCTCAAACCCTACAGAAATAAAAACCATCAAAAAGGAAGCCATTTCATATGGCCTAGTCATTCTATAGCACAATAGACCAAAGAAAATTAATACAATTACACAACACTGGACTCTTAAAGTATATCAGTGTGTCTTAAATGGATTTCTTTTATCTACCAAAATGAATACCACAGCTTTCTGAAAAAGACAGAGTCAGAAATATGCACCGAGCACCTGAAAAGTTTCTACAATATAACATTTGTTTAAAACAAGACAAAACAAAAAAAGCAAGGCAAAGCAAAACAAGACCTTGATCCTTTAGATTAAGGGTTTTTTCTCCAAGTATTTCTTCAAAGAAAAATAGATGACTCTGAAAAAAATCAGGAGTTTTTTCCACATACAAAATCCAAAATCATGGAAGAGGAAGAGATCATAATGAAAGAGAACTGCTCTTTCACTGAAGCCATGGCACATGGCTTTCCTATAAACAATAACTCATAAAGTTTGATAAATTACAGTATAACTTTGATATTACATCAAATAAACAAAAAGGTTACCACTGGAGTGTTTTATCTGCTTTCAAAATAGAAGGTTCATGCAAACTTAATCTCTGAGTTTCGTTTCGTTTAAACCCCAAACCCTAAATTGACAGAAAGTGTAAAACAAAGAGAAGTAGCAGCTCTCCAGTAACATAGTAAATGAGAACACATGTATATGGAAATTCAAGCAAGAAGAATACTCCTATCAATTATCAGAGGGCAAAATTCTTGAACTATTTAGGCCATTCCCTGTATTGCTTGTGGCCCACTGCATTTTTCCTGTTCCATTTAGCCCTATAGAGGTGTAATTGGTGCAGTCATTCATTCTTCTGCTATTTTGTCTCCATATACTAAACCCACAAATGTTTCTTATATTATTTTTGAGCTGTCCCACCGAGGATGTGGTAAATTGAGACATGCAGGAGCACAGAAGTCATTTACTTTTGGAAGAATAGCAGCTTTTCTCTTAAAAATGAAACTGACTACCAAGCTGAAAAGTGACACTGAGCATGTTTACCCATTTTGGAATTGCTGTGAAAATTCAGTGTACTCCAAAAAAAAGTTCAGCTTCAGCAGTGATCTTATCACACCATCCTACACAAGCACAGCATAACAATTATAAAATGCAGGGCAGTTCAGCAATAGGAGTTTGGGGCTTGGGAATTTTCTTGATTAAACTGAATATTTGTAAAAATACCATAGCATAACTTCTAATTGAGGGTGCTGGAGGGACCTTCCTTACAAGATCTGTAAACCCCAAGCCTGTAACTTCATGCATGTCATCAATTTCAAAGGCTTTCAGGCAGTGGGATTTTGTGCAGTCTTAATCCTGTAAACTGTTTTTACCACATGTGTAGAAACTTGATTGCACTTCAGAAACAAACCTTCAAAAAGATGCACTGCTTTGCATGTACAGCAAATTTGATTTATTTGACTTTTCTTATAGCTTCTGGGCAGCATTGAGCACAGGCTTTTGGGATGATTTACAATCACAGGGATGAAAGGCTCCCTTCATTTCCTGTTTTAAGATTCCCTTAGGGGAATATATATCTTATGACTGAAAGAAAATCAAGTAATGTCAACACCTTGACTTCTGTGCTTCACTAGAACAGTATATGTGTTGCAGTTTAATCCAACATCAAAGGTGAGTTGCAAAAGCCATTACTCACTGTCACATTCCCAATGAAGAACGGCATTGAAATCAAAGGAAAGAATAGCTTGTGTTCCCTCGGTAATACAGTCTATTCTTTGTCTGCCAAAAGTCTCACCTCTATTTGCCAGTCAGGTGACCAGAGGCCTAAATATTTGCCAGTACATTAAAAGATTCTGTGTGTATGTGGTCACTGCATGGCCTCAACCATAGAAAATTCTTCAGCTGATGGAGTAAACACATATTTTTAGGGCCTTCACTTGGCTTCAGCTCTGGACACAGTGCAGAAGTGAATATGGGTAAATGTTTTTTATAAATAACTTAAGGATGACTTTTTGGCTCAATTTTCCTATCTTAGGAATCTTCTACACAGCACTTGTGTATTGGCTTGTCACAAAAGTCTCATGGATGGTCTCACCTCTCTACTGTCTCTTTTTCCCATGCCCTGCAATTGCAGAATTAAAGAGATGAGGTCTTTCTCTGGCAGCACTGGTGTCCCTGGGAATGCCTTAAGATGTGTTTGATCCTGCTGCTGCCAATTCATTTACATGATATAATGCTGCTCTTACTCAACAGAGGGATTTGTTGCTTTTCTTCAAGCTCCTACAAAGTAAAATAAAGCAAAATTATTTTTTCAGAATGAGAATGGAAATGTATGTCCAGAGAGTCTGTGGATCTGCATCCTCACAGATTTTACAGGATAATGCTCTGGACAACCCAAGTTGACTTTGCAGTTAACCTTCCTCTAATCAGTGGGCTGTACTAAGTGCCACCCAGATGTCCCCTCCAAGCTAGACTATGCTATGATTCTGATTTTTAAAGCAGAATTTGCCAAATGAAGTGTGTAATTCTGCTTCCTGCTTTGCAAGGGGAGCAAGGTATTTATTTTTAACATGTGTTACGATTGCTGTGACCTTAGTACTTCTCTGTTTCTTCAGTATTATCCCGAGTAACAATCAGCAGAGTGAGGAATGGTTTTAGTGGGTCTAACATATCTCTGAAACAGAAACTGTGTGATGCCTACAGCAAGTAAAATTGCCATTAAAAATTACCTTTGTAGAATCCTAAGAAGTTAAAAAAAACCCAAAATCTGACACGCACAGCCGGAAAAGTGTGGACACTCACTGTCTGAAGGAGCATAAAACTTTAAAACTTTGGAAAGCTGTTACATTTATGAAGAGGTGAAAACCACATTTTCCTCAACAACTCAGATCCATTTTTGTGTACAATGAAAAAGAAAATTTTTGTGACACTAAATGTCTGAGATAGTGTCTATTTTTCTCTACAATCAGCAGTTATCATCCAGCTATGTGTAACAGAAGCCAGCATCCATAGAAAAGAGCATGAAAATAACCTTTCCTGAAGAGTTGAACATTGTTATTTTTCATACCTTGACTTTTGGTAGCTATCTGTATATTTTCACTTACAGAAAAAGAGTTCTTGGCTGGCAAAATTTAGAGCCTGAGGAAAGTCATACACAAAGTACAGAAGAGATGACAGAACACTACAGCTTTCGCATTTGAAGAGTATACTTTCACCATTAAAATATTAGTAAGTGAATAAAGTGTAATTAACAGCACGTACTTAGAGTCACAGCAACCATGTTTGTATTCTTCTGCACAATGATACAAGAATAATGGCTTACTGCATTACTTTCTTACTCTAAACTTGCATTATGCTTATCCTCTTTGGATTCCAGCCCAGCCTTGTGTTATTTTAGGTAGAATATATTCCTCTTCAGTTTGCTAGCTGGGGTAAGTTTTCTAGTATTGTGCTTTGCAGCAGCCTAGTGAATGTGACAAAGATTTCTACCTGATAATATGGGAATATAAATCAGGAAAGTTTGTTACTAGACTTTTAGCTATAGTGTTCATCTGGGAAATAATAAAATTTTGGTAGTTATGTAATGAACATTAACTAAATAATTTTGATGTTGACCTGAAATGCCAACTTCATAACCTATTCATGAAAATATTTAGTCAAATGCCATTTAGTCCTTGAATTCCTAAAACATGTCATTTTAAAAAGTATTTGAATAGAGTATTGTACTACTCAGTAACTCCTGTCAGTGAAACAGTGCTTTAGATTTTTGTTTGTCTTGTGCCACCTAATTGCTTGCAGAAAGCTCCTTTGCTGATACATGCTTTTTGAGGAAGATTTTTCAGTGTCACATCAGTGACACATGATTGGTTATTCATTGAAGTGCATTTCTTGCATGAGGGTTTTGACCTTATGTGAAAGCAGCTGTGTAGAAAGCAGACCTGGTCTCATTAAATGACCAGGAAACTTCTCACTTGCTTAAATTGTTATAATCTCCATTCACAGTAAAACTGTAATTGCACCTCAGCTTCTCTGCTGTACAGAGGAGCAGCCAGTGGATATCACCAAAACCACCTGTCAAGTTTCTTCATATCAGATAAGTCTCTGATGTTGGAACTTTATCATTCTGTAATAAAATACTGTTTTCTAACTCAGCATCCTGAACTGCTCTCAAATCCATTTTTAAACATACAATGGATTTTCTATCCTTTTCATTTCACCTACTTTTATCTTGCTGGAGCATTCTAAATGGAATGTTTTGAATTAATCTACTCTGAAGGTTTTTAAATGGTCATTAGGCACTTTTTCCACTGGATCAGTGAAATATGAGTGTATGAGCATATAGTGATAAAACAGTCTTTGAAGGACTGAAGTTCTAAATGACCCAAATGCATATATCAGCAATATTTATTATCAACTGAATGAAAACAGTAGTCTCTTCCTCTGATGCAATGATTTCCAGCTTTGAATTTGACACCCAGAAAAAAAAGGCAAGGCATCCTTAGAATGATTAATGCTGTTTTCAAAAGAACTGCTCAAGTAAAAAGTGTTTGTGAGCATGTGTTACATACACTAAAGGTGTTCGTACTATAATTATATTATCTATTTGTACAGGGCTGATAGGTCATTTCCCTTGGAAACTTAATACACTGAAAATTGTATAATATAAATTATAGTAGCAGAACATGCAATTAGTAGATGCAAAGTATAAAACTTGCCACTCTGAAGATAAACTTTGATGGTGACATCACTTAGAATTTCACTCAGAGAATTTATTGCACTCTAGATCAACTGCAGGCATTACTTATAATGGTATAATCATGAGGGTCATATCTCAAATGGCACGATTGCACTTTAGCTGGACTATAGGTTGCCACATAATGGTCCAGTGCACAGATTACAGTTGCATCAGATGATTCCAGCCAAGCTAGTTGGAAAGACCGTGGCAACTACAGGTACACAGTTTCTACTACCCAAAGTAGTAGAAAAAAAATTATCCTTTAAATTTTATGTGGAGCTACCTTGGGCAGATCTACACACTACTGCAATTTACAGGGTAGACACAAAAAAATCCTGTGGGAATTGGCGGAGTCTCACTGTGGCTGTGATGCAACCTTACAGCTTCTCCTTTGGCAGAAATATTTCATGAGGTTTCTGTTCCTTCCCTTTCACCTTTGTCCAACTCACTCTGTGAAAGAATATGGATTAAATTAGGCCATCCAAAGAACATTTTTCTTTTTAATTTAATTTTTTGAAAATAGTAATTTCATTGATTGAAAGAGTTCTATGATCAGACTTGTCGTTCTGACTAATGGAGTCAATAGCATCCTGATAGTGGAAACAAGTAATCAGGAAAAAAGGTAAAGAGAAAGGCTTAACCAAGCAGGATTTCTGGAGAAAATGTTGGTGGAGTGATCTCTCTGACGTGGGCATTGTTCATATGGAAGAGTTTGAAGAATAAGATGATAAAAGCAGTCACTGGATCTGCTTGCGAATAGTGCCTCAATAAACACAGAAAATGTGATCTTCCCACTGGAAGTGTGTTGGTTTTCATATACCTTTAAGTGAATTATTTACTTGGAGAAACGATAGGATTGTGCTACATTTGAACTATTGCTTTTGTTTGTCTTTTTTTTAAGGCTTATAGTGATTCTAGGGAAATACAAGTAAGCAATGGGGTAAGATAATTTGCAAGCAGAGTTAATAGAGGGGGGACTATATACATGTAGAATTAATACTGGGAGATCTTAAAATACTTAAAAAAACATATGTGATTAACACCACCTCTTAATTAGAAAACATTTATTTTTATAAGTTAATAATTGTGTCTTCATTTCCTTGAAAAAGTGGGGAAAAGTTTATTAAAGGAACGGTTTTGGTTTAGCTTTGTGTGTCATTCATCTAACTGGTTTAGCCCTTGTGCTGTTTATCACACATCCATTGTGAATAGAATTGCATTTTTTGCATGCTACAAATAGAAATGGGTTTAGAAATCTTTATGGCTGCAATGCTAATCTATGATGAGATCCCTTAATTAACAATACCAAGGTAAAGATGAGCTATATGGTACCACTGTTGCAAGTGATCCAAAGAGGATGTTCCTTCTCTCTAATATTTGATATTACCAAGGCAAAAAGCAAGCAATCCAGAATCATGTGTTTCCTCACTATTTAAAATTCTCAGAATAAAATTTAGATTCTAGAAGAAAATCCACTTTTTTCTGAAATGAACCAAAGTGTAAACTGGATTTATAGAGATTATTTCTCTTTGAACACCTAGGTTTTGAACACCTAGGATGGAATTTGTCTTCTTCAGACAAGTTCCAATTGCTTTCTGATCCTCTCTTCATCTAACAGCTCTTTCTTTACTAATAGTTCACATGTGAAGATATTTTGAAAAAGGAAAAAAGCCCCAAACCAGCAAACCCAAAACAACAAAGAAACCCACCAATGATAGAACTTACTCTGTGTGAGATCCATGACTCCTCTGGCAGGAAAATTCTCCCTTTATGCCCTTGTAAAATATGTATTTCTATATCAAATAAAATATTATACCAAATAAGAGACATTAATGCCATTATTATTAACACAGTGTGATTAAGTGAGAATTCAGTTAAGCAGGCAGTCACTAATGAAAATACACTGTGGTCAGCCTGCTGACAGCCCTATCCAAGAAACCAGAAGTGGGTTCTTAGTGCATTGGTGTTTTGTAACCCTAGTCCATGTAAAAGATGTAGGAGAAGCACTGGAATGTGTCTCATGTTGCTACGGCTTTTCCCTACATAACCAACGTCAGAGACTAAACCTTAGATATAAGGGCTGCACAAAGAATTTAACAACAATTTAACAAATGTCTTCCAAGACATTTACATTTTTGTAAGTTTGATCTGTAGCTGATGTTTCAACAGTGTTTAGGATTACCTAAACAGAATGCTTTACTTTAGAAGTTGCAGCTTTGTTAAATTTAGGTCATCTGAAATTTTCAATCCTAAAGACCTCAATCAGTCCAGAGCATGAGCAACATGCTCAAAAATAGTCTCTGAGAAAAAATACAGAGGAAAGATCGTCTTCTCCATGTCAGAAAATTCTGAAAGTTTTAGAAACATCTAATGATTTCCATTTAAAAAGTAGCAATTCTGTTGCATTTATAGCAAGAATGTATCTTGTGTTGTGGTAAAAGTATCCTAGATGCTATACCTGCATATAGCTCACTCAGAAACGTCTGAGACAATTGCCCATGCTGTAACTGTAGGATTTGACAGGTGGGAGACACTACTGATGCAGGAACCAGATCAGAAAAAGGGATACTGATAGAATTTCTAGATTGCTAGAGTTTTCTCTAACCTCTTTGTTTTGTGCAGACAATGAGAAGGAGATGCAAAGCCTTAGACTCAGAGGAAGAAAATACAGGAGCCAGGTGTGGGAGAAAGATGCAGACTGTACAGGCAGGGGCAAGTGCCAGTTGTCTTGAAGCTGTAAGAGAGAGGAAAAGAAAAGCTAAAAGGAGACTGGAACTAGATAGGGAGCATAAAGAAGGAGAGAGAGAAGTCCTGGATCTGAAGCACATTTGAAACATGGATCTAGTGAAATAATAACAGGAACAATTTCCAGGGGAGGCAGACAAGACAAAAGAAATTGAAAGTGCTTAAACAAAATCATGTGGACTTACTCCACTTCAATGAGGAGGAGGCTGGGACAGACTGGATGTGAAAACTGTTATCATGACAAGTGTCCTGAAAACACAAGTGCAACACATACTGTTCTTCTAATATACCTCAATGAGCATTTTTGTGGGTCTGTCTTACCCAGTGCATTAACTGACAGAAGTCAAATATGTATTCAAATTTCAAAGCACAGAAAACATGGACAGAATGTGTGGATTATTCAACACTGGTGGAATATAAGTGCAGAATGTGATAAATACTTCAACTCCCTGAGACTGAGATTTGCACATGCTTATTAAATGTAATTAAATGAATGCTAGATGCTGAAAGGAAGGGAAAAGGGGGTGGGGGGAGGAGGAAAAAACCTCCTAATCCACCCGTAATTCAGCCCTTTGCCATCAGTGTAAAATGACAGTTGTGTTTCCATAGCAATAGAAACCTCTACTCACATTGCATGCCAACTAACACGTACAAATGTTTGACATGACTTTAGTTTGCTATAGCAACCGTATTTATGCTACTTTATATAGGCTATCAAAATTCATTAAAAATTATACCCAGGATGTCATAGTTCAGATCTCATTAA